TATAAGATTCGAGTTTAATGAATATTTTTTCTAGCTATAACCATGCGAACATAACATAAGAAGCTTAGCCTTAATTTCTGCTAAAAATCTCATAGCGTATACTAAGTTGCAGAGGGATTCAGAATCCTCTTTCCCTGGCCAAAGATCTGTAACTTTTGGAAAGATTAAGATACATTCACGATTGTTTGTAGATAGTTATTTGCTGATATTAAAAATGCAAATTTTAAAAGCCTATTTTCCTATCAAAATATAAATGATTTAATAAAGTTTTTTGTGGATATTAAACAAGACTACAATAAATCCTGAATATGGGTCCATGTTTTGATGCACTTCTATACATCTTCGATGAGATAAGATGCAAGTTTTCCCCAATCATTTTTAACAAATTGAACAATATCTTAATCAGAGAGATTCCCTTTATATATTAACTCATCATCAAAACGATTTACTCGTAGCTTCAAAGTCAAAACAATTTTAATTTAATTAAAATATATTTCTGATACGAAATGACGTAGTTAATCCCATTAAAAACAACAACAAAAACAACAGCAATTTATTTTACCAATTTCTGGGACAAAATGATCCCCACTTCCACAACATAACAATTTCCAATATACAGGGTAAGATAAAAAAATGCAACAAAGTCAAACCCCATAATTTTTACATTTTTTATTCTATTGAATGAAAGCAAAAAATGTAGGAAATAGCATCAAATTTTAGAATAAGATTAGTTTAGAATTGGTCACCTTTAGCACGAATTATAACCTTCAAATGGCCAATGAAACTGTCACACGCTGCCCGAATATTGCTCTGCGGTATTTTGGCCCATTCCTGGCGAAGCGCTTTCTTGAGGTGATCGACACGGACGGATCGACGGATTGGTATTCGGAGATTTTGGTGGCCTTTGTGCGCTGGAAATGAAGTGAGTAACTTCATTGTATAACCATTCTTGGGTGGCGCGTGCTGAGTGCGATAGTGCGGAGTCCTAATGTCCAAAGTCTGCGGCCAAAATGTTTGCGTGCCCAAGGCTTTAATACACCCTCCAGAATTTTTTTGGAGAAAATATTCGGCATTTATTCTGATGCCACGATCGATTAACACGGGCGGAGAGCGACCATAGGATGTTATGGCGGCCCACACCATCACCATGGCCGGCGCACATTTTCAGGTGAACTCTTTGGCAAGTAAACACGATAATTTTGTTTGTTTACAAACTGCTGGACAACGAATGTTTTCTCATTGGGAAAAAACAAATTCGGCAGTTCTTTAGCTCTTTTGAGTCTATTTCCTTTCTGTGCGGTGTAAATTCTTGCACTCTTTGAAATCTCAATAGCTTCACCTCGAGCTCATTTTTTAATATTTGCCGAATGGAATATTGCGATATGTTCAGCTCACGAGCCATTTTTCGGCCACTGCGACGAGCAAGTCGCTTCTTTACTTTTAGAACCATTTTCTTCCGTCCACAACAGCTGTCAGACGAGTGGCTTAGAAATAACAGCAGTCTTAAGTTGGTGGCAGTTTTTTCATCTGACCCTGTAGTACACTTCAGTACAAATTTCTATTACAACCTACATCGTACAATCCAAACTAAAACTTATTTCCCAATTTCAGGATCCCAGCCCTATCGTTTCACCCGAATCCATATTGTACCACGTAGTACACATAAGTATGGAATTCCGAAACTTCCTACATACCCCAATCCTATAGTCCAACAGTAATCTGAATTTAAGTTCCAAATTTAGTACCGTTTAATACTATTAGTATACATGAGTACACACTTCCAAAACCTTCCCTCCCTACCTCCCTACAACCTTCAAGTTTTTAGCTCTAAACGTTCACATGATAAGAAATGGTACCATATGTAGTACATTTTATTACTTTTCGTACACTTATAGTGCGAATGTCCAAAAAACCTTTGGTACATCCATCATACACTCCATCAGTGACCCTTATTCCAAAATGATGAGTGCTACCTCTACTGGTTCGTCAAAAACAAAAACTATCATATTTGGTACCTTTAGGTACTTCTTGTACTGTTCTAGTAAGAATTTCCAAAAACCCAGCGTGTTTTAACAATTTGGGACCAAGAGTGACCCGCAATCAATATATTCGTCAACGAAATTAGCATAAAATAGTCAGAAGTTTGCCATTTGTGTATTTTGTTTTTTCGCCTGTAAGTTATTTTCAGCGTTTCGGTAGAATGGAAATGTTGGTATATTTTCAAACAAAAGTAGTGATCCATTCTACCCGATGTCCTAAACTCTAACTTCATGCGAGCTTTCGTGTCCTTTGGTTTCTATTTGTGGCCTTTATAACGGCTGCAATCTCAGGAACAGTTTCAGTTGTTGGTCCATTTCAACCCTTAAATATATTGCGGACATCTTTAAAAACAATAGGCCTAGCCCTTCTGAGCCTAACCCTACCCTTATGAAATTTTTCGTGAGGATCGGACGATAGTTGCAATCTGTATATAATAACCCCAACCTGTGTTGTAAGGTGAAAAAATATTACAAAATGTATACTTCAATATTATGTCAAATTGTAAAAGTCGCATGCGACAAAATATACGAAAAAATAAAAAAAGGTCACCAAATTCTACAAAATCTATATTGACATCATTATCTTATTATTTTATGCCAAAGGGCATTCTGAATTGACAATTTATCAAAATCGGTCCAGCCATTCTTGAGATATAAGCATTCTAGCTACCATCCCATTCCTTTGTATATATTTCGCTATATATCCGATATATTTACTATCAGCATCTATATAACGGTCTGGATTAAAAATATTCGCTGTTTAATGGAAAATTTGACTTTTATTTAACACAAATGTTATGGTCTATTTCATCCACTAAATATTGACGATGACCATTCCAATTGGAAGGTTTCTGCTCTGCTGCTGCTATGAGTCTATAATTGCGACCTGGATAGCAACTTTAAAATCAGGATTTTTTTAGTCCATTTCAACCCCAAAATATTATGCAATCATATCCAAAATCAATAGGCTTCTATTCTGACCTTAATCCCAACTCCATTTTCTATTTCGCGAGGATCGGGCCATAATTGCGACCTGTAGCTTGACTACAAAAAAACATGGACAGAGGGATAGACGGACGGATATACATAGCTAGATCGACTCAGCCCGATATTTCAATGTGTTACATAATTTTTGGCCCAATCAAACTTATAATACCCCCAATGCATAGTGTTGTAGGGTATAAAATTAGGAAACTTCATATAAATGTTGGCCAAAAATTTCATGATTGGAACAATGGTTCAATGCATGCATCGATGCAGTCAATTTTTGATTATGGCATTTATTTAAACAAAATCCTTATATTATGTGCAAAAATGTTCAGAACTCTACCTAATCTCCTTGGTGGACACGGCTGTGTCGCTGAGAATTTAACGCTCATCAAGCAAAAGCTTAATTTATTTTCAGTATAAATAATAACGAAGTTTGTAAATAAAACCACAAATATTTTAATAAAGCGTTTCCGTGGTCACCCTAAAAGTTTTGCCCAAAAACTCTTGGCATCGCAATTTTTGTTGGAAACTAGCACAAACTTCGACAATATTTACCGTGTGAGCTACTGTATGAGCTGTGTAAATAAAACTTTCATATAACTGACATGATTTCATTTTTAATGAAAAAATTCAAATTTAAATTTATTCACTATTCATCAACAACAAGAATAACTAATGACAGCCAGATAGCTAGCCGTTAGCTTCTTCTTGAATCTGCCGTACATCCCCATCCCCAGCAGCGGTTTCAATTATTAATAAAAAAAGTGTTTTTTTTTTTCGTTGGGCTGCCGTTTAGCAATATACATAAAGAGCAAGTGAGTGAGTGAATGAGTGAACGGACATTATACATACTGACAAAATGTGGTGCTGCAGACCATCAACCTCTATGACCGTAGGGGTCTTGACTTATGCACAAAACAAAATTCAGGTGAGAAACTACTACTTTCACTGTCACAACGTTATTGTCATTAATGGTTATGACAAGAGACGTCGTTTGGCGGCTCTTCATCATCTACAACAACATCATCATCAGCAGCATAATAATCATCTTGGTCATGACAAAAACAGCCAATGACGAGGTATATATATTGTTGTATATCTGTGTAATGCCTAAAAACTTTAAACGAATGAATGATTTTTTTCACAGTTTTCACTTTGAGGACAGTCTCCTCGTCAAATCTTTCTTCATTTAGTCGTCTGTTGTTGTTTTTTTTTTCTTTCTTTGATTATTTTTTTGGTATTTTTCTGTTAATTGGAAATGAAATGAAAGGTGTTTATGGCTTATGAAATTATTAATGAATTGACTTTAATGAGCTGGAAGTGGTTGTTGTTTTTTCATCTCTTATATTGTTAATGATAAACAATGATTGGCAAAAGTTTTGGGTTATTATGTAAAAAAAATATATAAACTTTTGAATATTAAAATCTTACCCATTGAAATATTTACGACCCTATTGTGTAATGCACTTTCGAAATCGTGCTATGCCGTTTTTTGTATTGTTTGGGGGAAGCGAGTAGTCTGGAGAATTCCACAAATATTTTGTTGGCTTGGAATTTAGCGTATTGGAGAAATTTCGTGGGGTAGATGAATATGAAGTGGAAGGAAATTGAGTTGAAAAATATTTCGTTGGCTGGATGGAATGGAATGCAATGGATTAGTTTTCAAACTGTTAAATGAACAAAAGAATAAGCTGAAACCTTATTATTTGTAGAGTAGCTGAACTTATTTTCATTAAGAAGCGAAAACTCTAAGTAATTTCAGGTTTATTAAAAACTTTGATTTGCCGAATAAACGCCGGCATCTTCAAGCGGGAGTAGATTTCTAAAGTCTTAAATCCTTTTTTAAAGCTCTCAGCTGAAAAAGAAAAAATACTTCTGACATCCAAAATTTCTAATGGGCGTTATTTCCGAGTCTACGCTGTGTAGAAGCGATTTTATTTTCCATAAAAAATTAAAATGCTTTCGAAAAACTGTTTTTTACAATAAATTACTTTATTCGTTTTTTGTGATTTTTTTTTGTAATGATTTTTTCATATTAAAATGAAATGCAATTTTATGACAAATTGATAACTTAGTTTATGATATGTTATTGTTAGAAGAAGTGTATTTCTTGTTTTTTTTTTATTCAATAAATAATATTATGCATGTGTGCGTGTGTTGTTTTTCTCGTTGTGGTTGTATTTGTAGAACTATAAACTATTACACAAATAAATAATAATTAATAAATTATTACAACTATTTTAAAACAAATATTGTTACAACTTTTATGTTTTTCTTTTGTTTTGATTAAAATGTGCTTTTTTATTTACTTTTTTGTCTTTGTGTGTTTTAGGTTTGAGCGGCTATTGATCAGTTGTAAAAGAAAAGAGAAGGAAAAATACAGAGCTGAGAACAGTTCGAGGTAAGTTGCAAAGAATGAGAGTGATACAAGAAAAGTTATGAAGAGAAATATAGTGAGAACTTGAAAGAAAGTCATGGAGATGAGAATGAGATTTAAAGAGAGCGAGAGAGAGAGAAAAAAGAACAAAATGAGAATTTGAATGCAAGTGATAGGTAGGCAAGAGTTATGAAAAAATAAGAGTATTGTAAAGAGTATTAAAAAAAGATAGATTTAGCTCATGAGTATAGCAGAGTCCAGAAAGAGAAAACGGCATGGTTTTCCTGTAGACATTTAAAAATGATCTAGGTTTTGTTGGATTCTGAAGTAGAAGCTTAGAGAGTAATTTGGTTTTTATGAAGCTGAGAAACTATGGCAAGTTATGGCGTTTTGTTTAAAGAGAGAATAAACAAAACTATAAAAAATAATACAAGATATGAAAAGAGATGGAAATGAAGTTAAAAGATATGAAAATGAGTTAAAGACAGTAAACAAGAGTAATTGAAAGAGATAGAAGAGAGAAAAAAAAGAAAGTCATAGAGTGAGAAAGTTAAAGATATAGATTTGAATATAAGAAAAGTTGGAAATTGATAATAAAGCTATGGAAAATTATAAAAAATAAACAAATATTGTTTTATTTAATAAGACTAGATTTAAAATAAGAGATAATTACAAAAATAAGATAGTTTAGAAGAGAGATGGAAAATAGAAATATAGAAAGACTAGATAGTGATGGAAAATATGAAAGAAATAGTAGAAAAATGTAAAAAGAAAAGAATAAGACAAAGAAATAAGAATGAAGAAAGACTTAGGAAAAAAGACGAAGTTGGAAGATAGTGAGAGATATAAAGTTAAAAGCTAAAGAGGCAAGAATTTAGTTTGAAAAGTAAATAAAGAAAAGTAATGCAGAGAGAGATAGAGAAATAGTAGAAAAGAGAAAAATCAAAAGAGAAAACAGTGGAGAAATATTAAGAGATAGAGAGAAAAACTGTAGATAGTGATGGAGATAGTTAGTGAAATCGAAAGAGAAAGTGAAAGTAAAGTTAAAAGAGAAAGTATAGCAAAGAAATGAAAAGTGAAAAGTCAATGAATTTTTCCTTTACCTTAAGAGGCAAGGAGAAAAAACTCATTTCAGCAAGGCCATTCTCTAATCAGTTTTCTATTTTGTGTTTAGCTCTTTTCTAATTGAATTGAGTATTTGTAGATTTTTTTTTTGATTTTTCATAAATGCTGCATTATTTCGTCTTAGTACCGTCTTTTACAAAACAATGCTCAAGTTTTCACATATTAAGTTATACATAATATTATGTAATATATAAAAACTCTTATATAAATATTATAAAGAGACAGAGAGATAGTGAATACAAAGTGCACACACTTACACTGCTTCGTGTTGTCTTTTTTTTGTTTTGCAATTTTCTCTACTTGAAGTGATTCAATACGTATCGACTATTATCGATCGCTTGATGGGTGGTGTTGGTGGCTTCTCTACATCTTGGCTTCTTTGTCATCATCATTAACATCATCTTCAGTACTATTTTCTTGTCTTATTTTTTTTTGTGATATTTTTTGGAGATCTATTAGATCTCATTGTAGTAGGCATGCGGTTATGTGATATATATGTGGCTTGGAGGTGAATTATTATTATTACAAATAAATAAAATAAATTAAATAAATACAATAAATTAACAAATATTTGACAAAATAGATAAAAAAACATTTTCTCTTTTGTTTTGTTCGTTTGTAGTTTAAACTTAAGTTGCGTAAAGTATGTAAAAAAGTCTAGTTTCTTATGGTCTGAGGAGTTTGATTTGAGTTCCCCCTCACCATTCAAATCATCCGCCAGCAGCAATGCAAGGATAAAAAAGTGAAAAGTCACATTACAACAAAGACTCTTAAAAGAAAACGACATCTAAGCTCAATGTTATAACTTACGCTCTTTACCCTGCTCGTATCACTGCTGGCTAATTCAATTGGCGGGGAAAACTTTCTCTTCTCTCGTGTCGCGTCACGTCACGTCATCGTAGGTCATTGTAGTCGTCCTGTTCCTGGTCAGTACTTTGCATTACACAAAGTTCGTTATCATTTTTAGATTTGTCGTTGGGTTGCTTAGCGTTGTGACAATTTTCTTAAATTCTGATGACTGGTGTCTACTGCGCTTAGGCCTTGGGTTTTTGGGCATTGTAGGCCAAATCTTGGGCATCCAAGGAACGGCCCCAACCACCATGGCCAGAGCTGCCATATGAGCCAGATGAACCAACATCAGCACTGTAACCACTGCCATAGGAGTCATGGCTGACGGAGTGACTGGCACTGTGATGGGGATGGGCAACAACTTCATAGGTGACGTGCTTTTCTTGAGACAACAATTTCTTGAGACCAATAACGGCAGAGAGAACCAAGGCGATTTTACCGATCAACAAGGCCTTACCGGCAATCAAGGCAATGGCACCCAACAACAAAGGCAAGAGAGCGGCAGCCTTCAGGGCGATCAAGGCAACAATGGGGCCCAAGATTTTGGCGGCCTTCTTCTTCTTGCCACGGCTTTCTTCGGGAGCATTGGGGTCATCAGAGCCGAACAAAGATTCGCTAACATCTTCCAAGGCACGGCCGGTGGAGCTGACAGCATTGACAATATCGGCACCATTCAACTCAACCTTGATGGTGTGGGTGTTCAAGAAGCTGGTAATGCGGTTCATGGCCAATGATTCGAAAGACTCGTTACCAGAAATGGAACGGGCAGCAGCATCTTGGGCGGGAGCATCAGGAGAACGTACAACGGTAACACCTTCGGTCAAAGCGAATTGATCGCGAGCTCCCAGCACTTTGTCCACAAAGTTGAACAGCTTATACTTTACACATGACACGGAATCCTTGCGCAGACAATCATTGTAAATACTATCCACGATATCGTTATCGGAGCCCACAGCATTACGGGCATGGCCTCGGGTCTCTTCTGCGGGTAGGGCTGCTGCCAGTGAGATTAAACACACAACACTGATTGTAACAAATTTGTGAGCCATTTTCTTTTTGTTTGGTTAGAATTCGTGCGTATTTCTCTTTTCTATTTTCTTTTGTATGCGTAATGTTTTTTGTTTGGGTTTTAAGCAAACGTTTTCGTTATAGTCCTTATTTTGATTCGTTAAATTTGCACACCACACGACACTTTCTCTGATTCGTAACCGTTCGTCGTAAACACGATAAACACACCGTCGCTAGCTTTCTTTTTTTTGGGTTGGTTGGCCGAAACGCTTGTGTTAACGTTTGAACGAGTAAGGATGAAATGATACAATTTCCCCATGGTCTAAACAATTTATATACGAAAGCCTAACGCAATGAGCTCAACATGGCCATAAGCATAAAGCCAGCGAGTCAGTCAGCTAGTTGAAGAGCTGAGCCAGCTTCATGCCAAGCCAGAGTTGCTCAACAACATTTTCTTCTTTCATTCATGCATTCAGCCAAGCAGTCATCTAGCCAGCCAACCCGGCAGCAGTGCTATATCTCTGCCATAGGAAAAAGGCAGATGAAACAAAAACAACAACATACACGACGAAGACGTTATGGCCAAAGTCAAAGTCATCGGCAACGCAACGCAACGCTACGGCAACGGCACCACAATCAACGCCAGCTTCGTTTATTCGCGTTTGTAACTTAAGTCTTTCGTTTTGGCTCACACTTATTTCTCTTTTGGAGATTTTGTTAAATGCTGCCACTGCCACGGCTACCGCACAAACACGTGTTATTGTTGTTGTTATTATGGTTTTGTGATACTGACTTTTTGGCAAAATATCTCAGTAGGAAAACCAGTTTTAGGCTGCTCTTCTCTTAGACCATTCGAAAAAATGCTTTCGCTAAAAACTGTTTATTTTCATTTCGGGTTGTTGTTGCTGTTATTGTTTCTTTCAACTTAAGTGCAACAAATTCATGTAACATTACCAACTTTCAATGGCTTCAGGTTGTTATTACTGTTTGCAAGTGTTTGTATATGTGCTCGCACATTTTTTTTTGTCGTTTTGATTTTCAACCATAAAAATGAATTCAGTGCTGAGACCAGCAATCTTCCTTAAATGTTCATAGCTTCCTTTGTAACTTTTTCTTTTTTTGTGAGCTGTTGTTGTTGTTGCTGTTATCTTTTATGTTTGTCATATCCACGCATTGGATGCTGTCCGATTTTATCAATGTTTTATATCCAGTATTTCATCATTTTCATTTACTTTGAAATCGAAAGGAAATTACCAGGGGCAAGATAAAATATTTTAAAGTGAAGGCAAGGAATTTTGAATTTTTTATAATCTTTGGATTAAATGCCGGCTCATCCATTCTTTAATTTAAAATTAATTTAAAAATTTTACCGTAACTCTTCTAAAATTTTGTAAATAGTACATAGAGCAATATATTTGAAAATACGTACTAAAAACTTGGAAATGACAAATATCATATATGTGCAATAAGGGCCAAGGGATAATTTACTATCTTAAACTTCTAAGCTAAGAATTTTCAATAGAAATGCAATTGTTTATTTGAGCAAACGTATAAATTTATATTAGAGCAAATGTTTCTGACTTCGTATGATAGCTGATTTTGTGATTTTTTTTCCTTCAGATTTATTGGTGCAAATGGATAATAAGAAAAAATCAAACTTTTAAATAATCATAACTTTAAACAAGTATGCATAGGCTATAGTCGTGCGGTGCCGACCATGTAATACCCTACAACACTACAATATGTTAGAAGCCCTCTTATGGCCAAACCCATTTTGGAAGATTTCGCTTTTGAAGTTATGTTTATGTTTTTGACCAAGACCATTTGCCCAATATTTACCCAGTCTGTCGTGTTGTTAGTTACTGCTAAATATAATCCAATGGTCATCCAAAATGCTGGAATTCTTCGCTGTTCCTAACACTCTTCTAAGACAACATTCCGTGTCAATTGGTTTCAATTGTGAGATCAGGAAAAATGTTCTGTTTTTGGTTCTTTTGAACCCCTTAATCTTTTGCGATCATCTACAAAAGCAAGCAACTCTTCCGTATTTCCAAATTTAGACTCATTTATAAAGTTTGGTTGTCTACGATATTTTTCAACGAAATCAGCATAAAAAAGCTAGAAGTTCGCCTTTTGTGTATTTTGGATATTGCCTGTAAGTTATTTTCAGCGTTTCAGTAGATTGTTGGTATTGTTTCACTCAAAGGTAGTGGCCCATTCTAAACTCTAACTTCATGCGAGATTTCGTGCTCTTTGTTTCCTATATGTATCCATTATAACTGCTGCAACAGCAGGAACATTTTTAGTTTTTGGTATATTTCAACCTCAAAATATATTGCGGACATTTTTAAAAATAATAGGGGTAGTCCTTTTGAGCCTAACCCTATTCTAATTTCGAGAGGAACGGACAATAACTGCAATCTCTGTATAATAACCCCAACCTGTGTTGTAAAGTGAAAAATATTACAATATATATATTACAATATATATATATTCAAATTAAAAAAATTGCATGCGATACAAAAATATGAAAAAAAAAATACCACAAAATACTACAAAATCTATATTAACATCATTATAGGCATTTTTTATGCGATTTTTTTTAGATTTTATTCTTTTATGCCAAGAGGGCATACCGAATTGACAAATTTGCCAAAATCGGCCCAGTCATTCTAGCTAACATCCCCTTCCTATGTATATATACATTGTATATATTTCGCTACATATATCCTATATCTTTACTTTCGGCGTCTACGTAACAGTCAGAATTGACCTTTTCATCTGTTTGTGATTGTGATATGCCGGGGTTAAAATATTCTCGGTTTAATGGAAAATTATATTTTGTTAAAACAAATGTTATGGTCTATTTCACCCACTAAATATTACCTGATGACCATCAAAATTGGAAGGCTTCTGCCCAGTCCTAAGCTGTAGCTCCATGAGGAAATGTATCAGTTTTTGTTATATTTAAACCCCTAACCTCCAAAAGAATCACTATTCTGACCATAAACCCTCAATTTCAATTTTCAATTTCGTAAGAATCGGGCCAAAATTGCGACATGTTGAGTGATTACAAATTAACATGGTCAGAGGGACAGACGGAGAGATAAGAAGATCCAATACAGGGTGAGATATAAACTGCAACAAAGTCAAATGCCATAATTTTTAAATTTTTTTAATGTTATTAAATTAAGGCAAAAATGTCGAAATAGCATCAAATTTTAGAATAAGTTTAGATTTGTTGGAATTGGTCCCCCTTGGCACGAATTATCGCCTTCAAACGGCCAATGAAATCGTCACACGCTGCCCGAAGAGCGACCATAGGCCTTTATGGCGGCCCACACCATCACCATGGCCGGCGCTCGAGATCTGATGACCAACAGAAGTTGCACATTTTCAGCTGACCTCTTTGGCAAGTAAACACGATAATATTGTTTGTTTAAAAACAGCTGGACAACCAATTCGGAAGTTCACCACTTTCGGCAGTTGCACTTTTTGGAATTTCAATGGCATTACCCCGAGCTCATTTTTCAATATTTGCGAGTGGAATATTGCGATATATTCAGCTCACAAGCCATTTTTCGACCACTGCGACGCGGGTTTCGATCAAGTCGCTTTTTTACTTTTCGCACCATTTCTGCTGATGTTGCTGTTTTCTTCCGTCCACTTCCTTGACGTCGGGCTATGCTACCAGTATCACGGTTATGATCGATGGTACGAGACACAAAAGATTTATTCACATTTAAATGCTGGAGTGCTCTAACTATAGCCACTTGTGGTTTTCCAGCCAAATATAAAGAAATCACACTTGAATCACGCTTGAATTCCATAACGAATAACTTTTTTTCTGGAAAATTTTCATCAAATGCTTTTGTTCGCTTGTAAGCAATAAAATGAGCTGTCAGTGGAATATTTTAAGCAGCTGTTGGACGAGTGGCATAGAAATGACAGCAGTCTGAAGTTGGTTGCATTTTTTTCATCTCTTCCTGTACTTTCATAATTCAATGAAAAGTCTAATTTCCCTAAAACCAGAATCATACAATTAGCTTGCCAATTAGGTATATTTTCCAATTCCTGAACAATATTGCTCAAGCTTATTCGGAATTTCATACTCATTCCAAAGGATCTTCGAAATAATGCAGTTATGTCCTCTTCTTAGTATACATATAACTTTACTTAAGTGTCAAACGAAAACAATTCACTTTTTTTTGTTTAAAAAAAAATATGAATACTTTCGCTTTTTACTGCCATTCCAGGTACAAACATACACATGTATGCATGGCAGTAGATTTCTATGCTGATGGTCTTTTTAAGAAGGGCATTGTAAAATTTATGAATAAAAGCCATGTACAGCTCATAACAAAAGCATCCACTCATATTAACAATGTGATCTCACATATTGCAGACAGCTATTTTATGATGAGTACTTGTATCCGAGATTTGTGGCACTTGTTATTATTTTCCCTTTTACTTTTTATTTTGTCTGTTTGGTTGTTGTTGTCGTCGCTGGTGTTGTTGTTGCTGTTATTGTTTTCTGTTGATTTCGGCTCACTTGTTCGTTCGATGCAGACAACAAATTACACCTTTTCCATAAACTTTCAGTCTGGGCCTTAGCTGGTTTCTTTGGCATCTTTTGTCGTTTCCATGTTTGCATTGTTTGGCGGCTTTTGTTTATCTTTGGCTGGTAATTACAGATGTTCCATGTTCCAAGGGTGCAGTCTGCATTGGGGTCACACTTAATCATTTTGATTTAGTTAAAAATATTCTCATAATTTCTCAACGGGGAAAATTTTTGTCTTGTGAGGAAATGCCAGGCACAAAGACAGTCGCACGCATACTGTGCTACTTGGTTGAATGCATATTGTATTTTTTTTTTTTGGCACAGAATTAATAAATAAATTTAGTTCGGTTGCACAAAGTCCGTGCAAGTGCTTCAGTGTGAAAGGAAAGAAAAGGAAGGGCTGTGTTTGATTTCGATTTATTTCAGAATTAATTTTTTAAAGCCATAATGACGGGCTTTGCGGTGCCATATTTTGAGAGTTACTGGTGATACGACATACATATCACAGTAATAACAAGCAAAAAAGCTATAAGTTCGGCCAGGTCGAACTGTGAATACCCTCCACCACATGGAACGAGGGTGGAAATTGTCAAAAAAAAATCCTTAAAAATTCTTCTAAAATCTTAAAAATACCGAATGTAGCCGTTATAATAAGGTCTATACGACGTAGTGGACCTGCATCATCAAAATACCAAACATCGGTATGTTCCGTTATAAGGGGGCTATACGATGACGTGGACCTGCACAGACA